CCAAGCCATCACCCCGTCTTCCTTCACACTTTGCAGTCTGGTGCAAAGATGCCTTTTCTCCTTATATATTTTTTTTCTTTCCCATTTTTCTTCGTTTTTCCCTTTTTTTTTTTTTTTTTTCTTTCCATTGGTTGTTTGGATTAAGGGGCCTTAAAGGGGCCAGACATTTCTTGTGTTCTCTCATACCCTATAAATAACCGGCACCTCTCCAGTGCTCCAACTCCACCCTTCAGTTGCAGATTCCACTGTCTAGCTGCCACCACGCCGCATAGCCTTTCACACTCTTCCTTTCTATTTAATATGGAAATATTAGCAAAAGAAAACACTTGCTGTCACCAATTCTGCAAGAGGAGGAGAGGGGAAAAAAGGGAGAAAGAGGTGGGAGGCACAAGGGGAGGACACAACCAGCCAAAAAGAGTATCCGGAGGAATGTTCTTCTCCCTCCCAGGTTTACAGCAATGTCTTTCCATCTGTTTTGTTTTCCTTCTCCCTCAGCCTGAAAGGGCTGCAGCATTATCATGTAATGTTGCTTAATGTGACCAAAGGCTTCGCAAGTCTCCTCATGGACCGCAAACATAGCCCAAATTCCAAGGGAGCAATGCCTGTGGCGTCTCGTTAAAGCAGACGACTTGCAGCCTTCTCTGTAGCCCATGAATGGTTGTTTGGGGTTTTGATTTTTCCTTTTCTTTTCTTCTTTTTCCCCTTTTTTGTCTATTCCAAGTGCATGCCGCCACCCAATCCTGGCAGGGGTTTTGTAACGCGCCGCCATATCTGGGAGGTATGCATGGAATCTTTCAAGTGCTTGGTCAAGTCCTCTGTGGTTTCCTTTGAGCAACTGCCCACCCTGCCAGCTCCCACCACCCCTTCCCAAGCCCCCATGACATGCAACCGGTTGCGCCATTCATGCCACAGTTTCACATGACTGTTGTCTCCTCCCGGTTTCTTTCTCTTCCTTCCTCCTGGCACGTTTCCTGATGTTGGTGAAGGATCAGAGGGCAGTGGCTGAAGACTGAAACAATCTTGAAGACTATGGAGCAGGCAGAGAGAAAGGAAGAGCTCTTACCTACCAAGTGTCCCAGTCTCCTTTAGGGAGGGAGATGTAAGCCTCACTTGGTGCTGGATGGTGTTAAGAGATTGAGTGAGGGGAGTGGGATGCTCTAACTGATGAAAGTCTGACTTTACTGTACCTGAGCTGTTACTCTATCAGTATTTTATAATGTCTTACGGTTTTTGTTCTCAGCAACTCTCTGTGGGGCAGAGAAATCTTGTTATTCCCATTTGGAAAAGGTAGAATAGAAGCACACAGCCCTGGAGATAAGGGTTGGCTTGAGCATTGCTAGTTGTCTGGGTTTCCAGCCCAGTTAGTGCCCACTGGCCAGAGTGATAGGCTTTTAGCCTGTGGGTGCAAGCTCCCATGTACCAGTGTCCATGTGGCCCTGCAAGAGATGTATTGGTGGGTTATATTGACTACAACTATGATCAAAGCAGTTATGTGGATGGAAAGGTAGACTTGTGGGATGGCATCTCATGGTCCTCCTTCCTGAAGCTCAGCCCATGTTCACCTTTCAGTTATGCCTTGTTGAATGTGTGTATTGGTAGAAGTCTGCCTATGGAACTGGTTGTTTCCATGATGGTTTAGCTGTATCCTTGGGCCTGGACACATCCTCGTGGATAATAAGAAAACCCCAATGCACTAAAACAAGGAAAGTGAGGTTTATTCCTATATAATTTGCCAAGAAACTTCTCTATCACTTTGTGACTGGATTTTATTGTTTTCTGTTTTTCTGTTTTTCCTTTGTAAGACCTAAATCCTGCCCCACAGTAGTCACTGATGTTCCGCAGTGCAGGAGGCGGCTGAAGCCCTTTAATTCAGACTCTTCTTCATACAGTGAGATCTCTGTGTGCATTCATTCACCTGTGGAGCTCTTACAGAGCCTCTTCAAGACGCAGTAGAGCATCTTCTGCAGCCCCTGCATTGCCCTCTGCTCTTTCTGCACTCCCGTTGCCTTAGTGCTTAATGCACATGTTGGCTTTTCCTCGGGATGCAGCAGGCACCAGGCACTTGGGAAGCATTAAGTGATGCTTTTCAGTCCTTAAATAAGTAGTGACAAAGCTGCCTTTTGGCTGGGACACACTCACCCACCCTTCAGGAGGGATGTGTGCATGGTGTGGTCCAGTTCAGGAGCTGGGAAGGGCTGAAGCATCTCAGGGAGCTCAGGAGAAGCTAAAGGATCCCTCTGTGGAGTGTCTGCACACTGAGCACTGCTGGCTTGGCAATGCTGCCAGTTGGAATGGAATCTCTACAGGGGCAACTAAGCTATGTGGTTAACACAGTGACCACCCCATGCCAAATGCCAAGTCCCTGCTCTGAGCATTGGGGTTTCACAACTAAAGTTGTAAGTTAGTTTGGTTTTTTTTCTGACTTTTTTTTTTTTCTTAACATGAGGAGAAGTGTATTTTTTTCCTGAGCTGCTTTGTTGGAATTGGCTGGAGTTATTTTATCTGGAACTTTCCAAACAAAATTCAGCCCGAGGCAGATACCCAGTGTGGAAAATTTCAACCCAAACAGTTGAAGTTTGGCAGTGGCGTAGGAACTGAGTGTATGGAAAGTGCCTCAGCGTGCTGAGGCCATGCTACCTGCTCTGCTTGCAGGGATGGAGTAATGGATGGCAATGTCTATACTGGGTTATGGGAGTCTGCATGCTAACCATCAAATCCCTGTTCTGGTGGGACCCTGCCCAGTCATCTTCACAGAGATGCTGCGGTGGGATGAGCTGGGGGAGCTGGATCACCAGCATCAGGGCAGTAGTGGTGCGGTCGGGATGCTCTTTGGGAAGATGGGAAACTGGAAGGAGAGGAATCCTCTCTGCTTCTGGTCCCTTTTAACAAACTGAGGGTGACACCAGCTGCTGGTCAGTGGTATTAACCCTTCAGAGCTCACATCCGAGATGTGTGCTTATGTCCGAGTTGCACCCAGTTGTACCTATCCACTGGGCTGACAAGAGGCTTCAGCTCACATCCAAGATGTGTGCTTATATCCAAGTTGCACCCAGTTGTACCTATCCACTGGGCTGGCAAGAGGCTTCCAGCATGGGCACCAGGCCACCCAAAAGGTAAGCAGTTGCCTTATGTTCCCTCTGTGGCATCAGTATCAAACAGAGCCATGGTTTTGACCTGGTTGCACATGAGTGCTGGGGAGTCGTGCTTCTGTGCGAGCTGCTTCCCGAAACCCCGTGACTTTCCACCTCTGTGAGCCCCAGAGCTCCTCTTACTCCACTCTTCCTGTTCAGAAAAGAGTTTGTGAGCCCAGGGTTGTTTTGTTGTTGGGTTTTTAGTGAAGCCTTCAGCCTCTTTAAGAACGTGGCTAATCCTGTAAGAGCCTGGCATGGTTTATTGGGCATCCATTTCCCCCAGGTCACTTGTGGAAGGAAGAGGGGCTCTGCTCCCCCCTCTGCCTCCCCTCTCAATGCCCCTGTCTCAAAACCCCCAAGCATAACCTGGAACCAAGTGCCAAGCCAAGCCTCCAGCTTTTCCATTCCCTTCTCCACATCCTCACCCGGATGCACACCAGCCCCGTCACCTCACTGGTGGCCACCAGGCATCTACCACCAACCCCATGGGGATGGCCACACACACAGGGTAATGTATTACTACCAGGCAACCTGAGTGATGACTTCTCTTAATTAAGCTGGCTTTCCTTCCCTCGCCTTCTTTCTTTCTGTCCCCAAAATGTGGCAGCAAGCAGCAGCCATGTGGCACAGGCCGAGTGACATCAGCTCTGTTCCTTTGGGATGATGCTTTGTGCTGCAGCCGAAATGTTTAGGGCCAGTTTTCATTAGAAGTGGTTTTTGAGAACGGGTAAGTAATAATTTGCTAAACCAGGCCCTGAGCTGCTCAGTTGAACAAATTATGACTTGATGGGGTTTTTGTCTGAAGAATATGTGGAAAGGGAAACCCAGTTTAATGAAAAATTAGCCAGGTTGGATGTTAATTCCAGCTTGGTGTCACCACCATCTTCGTGTGATGGGTTAGTCATGGCCTTCTTTACATGTTAATTAAGCTGATGTGTCAGTAAGTGTTAGAAGTGCAAACTTGGGTAGTGTTTGAGTTGGTTTTTGTGCGTTTGCAACATTTGTTTAGTTTTCATTCAATGCATAAAATATGAAGGGAACAAACAGCTCAGGCACATTGTATCGGGTAATGAGACGAGTCACCAGATGTTAATTAATATATGAATATCGTTTTTATTTCCAATCGTCTGGCTGTGGTTTGAGCAAACCTATGTCCCCCAGCTGTTGCTACATGAGACAGAGCAAAAACAGAGCTAGAGTTCAGCTGCTCTATTCCCAGAGCACAGACTCTTACCCCAGCTGAAAGAGAAGGCGCTTTTAGGATGTGCTGTCCCCAGATGTGGCACGGAAGTGTGACATTCTTCTTCTGTCCAGTGGAGGGCAACAGGGGACACGCTCACAGCCCTTCCTCTGGTTTTTGGAGGCAGCAGTGCTGGGGCTTTGAAGCCCTGCAGAAACACATAGAACCATAGAACGTTTTTGGGTTGGAAAGGACCTTAAAGCTCATCCAGTCCCAACCTCCTGCCACGGGCAGGGACACCTTGCACTAGAGCAGCTTGCTCCAAGCCCCTGTGTCCAACCTGGCCTTGAACACTGCCAGGGATGGGGCAGCCACAGCTTCCCTGGGCAAATTGTTCCATCCAGGTCTTTCCTCCTGGACACCACAGTCCAGTGGGATTTCTGCTTCAAGCAGTGATTATTTATACACCGGCTTTGTGGCTCTTGGAGGACTCCTGGGAGATACTCAGAATTCAACTGGATAAAGCCCAGAGCAGCCATGCCCTGGCCTCGCTTTGAGGAGGATGGGCTGGAGACTTCTTGAGCTTATCTGATGGCAAGGCAGGTAGTGAGCCACCATATTCAGCCTTTCGCTATCAAAAGAATCTAGAATCATAGAGCAGTTAGGGTTGGAAAGGACCTTGAGAGATCATCCAGTTCCAACCTCACTGCCATGGGCAGGATTTGATTATTCTGTATTTCAACTGGAGGAGCCTTTCTAAGCTGGTCCAAGAATCTCCTTTCCATTTCTCCAGCTCTCATCCAACGGCAACACATAGTTGTGCTGTGACCAGCCAGTGCATCCAGGGATTTCTCCTCCTCCTCCTTTGTTTCTGTCTGCAGGGGTTCCTGCTAACAAAAGCACTATTTTAATGTCCATCTTTAAGTTACTTTGCATTTTTAAATATTAAAATTCCTTCTGCTTGTATTACTACAGCCCTCAAGATCTTTTAATTTGCTTTGACTGAGCCTCTGATCTCCTGTACACTAATAATTCATTCCACTTCATTCAGCGCTTAAATCACCACTGTTTCGAGTGAGAAATAAGATGAATTACAAGCCTGGTCATTGAAGAACCTTGTTAGTTATAACTCAGTTTCCATCACCCTCTTTTCAGCACAGCCTGTGTTCACTGGTCCGTTACTCAGTTCCTTACCTTCTCTATAATTCTTCTGCTAATTCCCACCTTTTCAAGCTTACCTAATAATTGCCCATGTCATGTTGTGGTGCCTCTTGATACCCAGATAAATGAGATTGTACCACGCTTCTCATGTCTAGGGAATGAACTGTCTCATTGAAGAAATGCATCAGGTTCATCTCATACAGTTTACTAAACCTGGGCTTGCGGTTTATTCTCCTTGTCTCCATGTCATTTAGGATTCCTTCCTTTAAAAGAAAAGGAAAAAGAGGGCTGTAGGATGAGATCATTTTCTTTCTCCAAGCTACACCTGTGCCTTGAATATCAGCAAGGAAGGCTGAGCTATTCAACCTCCTTGACCCATCGCATGGTCCACAGATGCATTGATTTTCTCAAGGCATCCCATCTTCTGCTAAGACAAGAGCCCGTGACTTGCTCTAAATTGCTTGTGAACTCCCTGACACTCTCTCTTTGTCTGTTTTCCCTCCTCTCCTCCCTCCCCGCCAGTAGCTGCCAGGAGGAGAATAACAGTGGAATCTCCCACATTGCTGTGGTCTGAGCAGGTTTCTCTCACATTATGGCTAAATAAATATTAATAAGAAATATGGAATAAGAGCTCATTGACAAATTCGGCAAATATTTGCCTGTGCCTCCCCTTTCCAGCCACCTGGCTTCCACAGGAAAGTTTTGCCCTTTCTCAGACCAGAGCATTCAGGAAATAAACACTCGCTTTCATTTTCTTAGAGGAGGAGGAGAATGAAAATAGCATTTGGGGGCCTGAAACCCACATCTTACATTTAGTGTGGCCAGAAGCAGCTTCAAACCTGCTAGTTTGAATGATGGCTTTTGTCCCTGCCTTCAAGTGACAGGTTAGCACAGGGCTGGCCAGAGTGGGCTTGAATGATGCCCCTGATTTCACCTGGATGACTTGGTGTGCTTTGCTGCACCTTTGGAGGGACAGCGTATCAAAATAAGCTCCCAGAAAAAAAGAGATTGAGTCTTCGAGGCAATCTTTGCACTTGAAAAATAGAAACCTTGGTTTTAACAGGAGCATCAGGCAGAAGGAATAAAGAGAGAAGAGCAGGGATGGTGATGGCGCTCGCTCCCCTAGGGACGTGGTTCAAGTAGCTGTAGCCATGGTTGCTGGCAGAGACCTGGAGCATGATCTTTAGAGATAAATTCCCACCTGGGAGGTGGCTTTAGTGCAAGGCTGCTTAAGGGCTTAAAGGATGCAGGGTAACCCTTACTTTAAAGAGTGACTTCAAGGTTCAACTCATTCCTGCTTTGGAATTTGGCTTCCTGACAGCTTGAGCAGAGGCTGTGCTGGAGGGCGAGAAGATAAAGTTGAGAAGACTTAGACCAGGTGATTGTGTTGTTGCAGGGCAGGTTTCCAGTTGACCCCAGTCTTTTGATGGGGGTTACATTTGTTCCCACTTTTTCTTTGGTTTTCTTTGGAAATGATCTCTTGGTGTGGTCTTGCAGAGGTATAGCAGAACTGGTACTTCAGTCACAGTTATTCTCTATGGCAGAAGTGTGGGACTGTGTGAGATACTGCGTTTAATTTAATAGCAGGCTGCTGTGGGAAAACCCAAAGCACAAATGCTCAAGAGAAACCACCTTCTTCAGAGCAATGGTAGAAGCAATTCCTTAGTCAGTAGTTGTAAAGTTCTCCTACCTTCAGGTTACAGCCAAGTTCAAAGCCACTGGCAGCTCAAAATGTTCAGAAGGTTCCCCCTGCGCAGCGTTTGGGGGTGTTGTTGCTATGGTTTTGGTCTGATGTGCACAGCATTCGCCCTGAGGATGCTTGGGAGTAGCAGAAGCACACATCAGAAGTGGTAAGGTAAACCTCCTTGTGGACTGTTGGGGTGTGCTCTTGTTCACAAGCTCTCTGTGCCAGGCAGTGTATTTTTCCTGCATGATATTAGCTTATCATTAACTACTAGTCGAAAGGACTCCATCTCCCCTGCCCACGCTGGGTTAAAGGCTCAAGGAGCAGAGAGACCTGAGGCACAGCCCAGGTCTAACTGGGTGAATCGGTCAGCTCTGCCTCCAGGGAGGTAAAGTCAGGTTGTGGTGGCTTGTTCTCAAACGTCTGGAGCAGCAATTGAGGTTCAGGTAGCTCTTTGGCCTTCCTGCCATCCACAGCACATCATGACTGGTCTGCATCCGTGCTCACAAGCAAAGGTGAAGGACATGGTTTCAATGCAGAGAAAGAACTACCTGTCTGCAGCTCCGTGCTGAGGCTGGCATCAGACAAAGACATCAGGGCTGACCCTAACCCACGACCACATGGAGAGGTGTGACGCAAGGGCTGCCTGCCTTCTTCCAGAGCAACCACTGGTGGTGTTCACACCGTGGGCCACTTTCGTCCCAGTTCCCACCTTCAGATTTCCTCTAATCACTGCCAGCAGAAAGCTGCCTTTCAGACAGACACATCCTTGCTCCCACAGCTCCTCTGGCCCAACCACGGGGCTTTGCTCCAAGTCCTGGGATACCACGTGGTGGCGTTCCTTAGTCCTCCAAGGATGGAGCGGTGGATCCTGCTGCTCCCTTAACGAGACTGACTAATTATTTATTACAAAGGAGGTTGCAGGAATCTGGAGTGGAAACTACTCCCCAGGCCAGCAAACTCACACCTAAGCACGCCAGGCTGCTTCCATAGCACAGCACATGCCGGAGCAATCAGTGGGAGGCTTGCAGGAGTGGGACCAAGGCTGTTTTATGCATGTGTGTGTGAGCGGAGGGGGGTGTATATATATAGAGAGAGATATATGTATAAAAATGTGTGTGTGTGTATTTTACTATGTTAAGCTATAAACTGTATGGGTTAGGTATGAATTAGAACCTTATAAAATGTGTTTACTCATTCTGTGTAACTCAAAGCGGGGATTAAACAGTAGGAAAAACTGACCAGGAGAATTTTCCAAGCAGAAACAATTTTACAGCTCTCATTGTGAACTTTAGAGGGAAGGGTTTGGGGGTTTTTGGTGTGGGGTTTTTTTTTGGGTTTTTTTTTTTTTTTGTATTTAGAATTTTTTCAGAGCAGGTTTTTTGTGTTTGAATTCTTATGGTTATTAGATAAAAGCAAGGGGAAGATGAGGAGGAAGGATGAATGGAGGAATAGCAGGAGAGCTTTCTGGCAGGCAAGATTCTCCCCAGGCACCTGAGCCCCATCCTCCTCTCCATCTCTTTTGACAATGTACTTTCTGTGCCAGTGGCATCCTGGAGGGCTTTCCCATGGCATGCTGTGTTCTTGAGCAGGTTCTGCTTTTCTCATCTTGAAGGCATCCTTTATAGGGAAAACAGTCCCCTAATGCTGCAGAATTGAAAGGGAATGGGCAAAGGAAATGAGCAGTGGAAGCAGAGGCAGCAGGAAATCGAGGCTTCAGTGAGCATCTCAGGCAGGGGAAGAAGAGAAGGAGGAGCAGAAGATGGGGATGGATTGAGGTCTTAGAGCCTGTTTGCCCTCCTTCTCATAAAGGAAGTCTGGCCAAAGCACCAAGGGAATAGTCTCACCACTATCAAGTGACTTATGCAGGATCAATTCCACTTGAGTGGTGTTCGGTAAACGTCAAGGTACATGCAACCCAGAACCTTTTTGTTGCTTAGTTCCTCCCCTTCTTTCTTTCCACCCTCTCTTTTGAGTCTCTTCTACCTTCTTGTTCTTGCTGCCATGGTGAATCATCTCTGCCTTCAGGACCGGTGACCCTTGTGCAGTTAGCAGAGCCTGACTCACTCTTCTCTGCATGTTATTTCCAGCCTTAGGAAGGTTGGGGGTTGGTTCTTGGGGCTGGGGTTGGTTTGGGTTTGTTGGTTATTTTTTTCCACTTCACTTTATGAACATTTTCCAGGGGACTGGGGAAGGGAGGGGAGAAAAGAGACCTGAGAGGGTTCATTGTTTGGGTAATTTTCCCTACTGCTAAATGTCAACATCCTACGCCTAATGCTTGGAGAGTAGCAGGACTTCTATTTCAAGCTTTGCAAGGGATGGGAGAGACTCACCTTATCTCTGTAACATGGCCCAAGCGATGTTTGGGTTCTATTTAGGGATTTGAAGAAAAGAGGGAATTGATAACCTTGCCATATGAGCTCCGGGTTGGCTACCTGGCACTGGCTTCCCTCGTCAGCACGGATTCTGGAGCAGCCCTGGAATCCATTTAGCACTTGGCTTAATCCTGCTCTGCTCATTCTGGGAATCTGTCTTTTGTCGTCTGAGTGGTCAGATGTTGCACAGTCGCTGGTGATGACGTGTCTCCAGCTAGAGTGATCGGTGATCCTGGGGATAGGAAGTGTGCTGAGATACCTTGCTTTGCCAAGGATATCATCTAGGACTTTGCTGTTCCCACCATAGAGGGCCTGTGGTGAGATGGTTTCCCAGGGGACATCATCTGTGAGAGCTGCCCTGGCTACTAACAGCTCCCCTTTCTTGTGGATGCCAAGATTGATTTATCTTGGTTTTTGAGAAGCAGGACTTAAAATTCACATTCCTTTTGTGCCAGCAACCTGCTGTGCACTTACAGCAGGTATCCACAGTGCCTGGAGTTTGCTCACATGTGAAAAAGGGTGAGTAGTCTTTCAGAGATGAAAGCCAGCTATTAATGGTTGGAGATCTGGGCTGGGGCTCTGTGTTACAGCCTCAAATTTGCCTTTTGCTGTCTTGAAAAAAGTAATTTCCTTTCTTTGTGTCCCTGCTCCCTTGCCTGTCGCCTCTCCTGAGGCTGCAGCCTTCTGCGATGGAGGTGTGATGGAGCTCACAAATGCTGCCTACGTTGTCAGAGGTATTAATGGCCTTTGTGAAGTGCACTGAAGTCTCTGGGTGTCAGCGCCTTGTTAACACGTGTTTTGTCCTCAAGGAAACAGAATCAGCTCAGTTTAAGAAGTCAGGGATTGTATTCTGTCCTTGGGAGCAGCGAGGCTGTGCGGTGGTGCGGGAGATCCCGTCTCACCTTGTAGTTTTAGTGGGAAAAATGGGGTGATTGCTGATATGATGATGGATGCTGAAGTAGACTCCTCATGGCCAAAAGATTCCCAGCTCTTCCTCCTCTTCACTGGCTTGTGTCTTCTCATAAATCAAAACCGTGAAGAAAAATGTTAAGTTCATTATGGAGAAATCAATAAGTGAATGATTCATTAGCTGTGTGGAGAAAGCTGTTGTGAAAATACTTTAGTAATCCAGGTAATTCCTTGTTCAAGAACTGATGTCAAGCCCTGCATATGTTAATCCTGACTGAGTGGGTGTTTTTTAGCTTCTGAGTTTGGTCAAATAATTGCTTATTTTCTCAATTTCATCCTGATATCACATTTGGCTTCTCTTGTGATACCTGCTTGGATAAATGGGGAGTTATGAAAAGAGGCACAGTGAAATGACCTGCTCTCTAGTCTGAATCCAAGGTAACTGGACGTATCTATACAAATATTTAGAACTCGCTGTGTTTGCTCAAGTTTTAACCTTGGTCCTGCAAGCATGTACATTAGTTTATCTGGCACACAAGTGTAATGGAACAGCTCACATGAATAAAGCTAAACATGTGTAAATGTTTGCAAGATACGGGTCAATAATTCTTTGGAAATCATAGCAAACCAGCTCTCCATTTTCTTATGCAGTGGTATTCTCCTCTCCCTCTTAGACAAGTGGTCTGAAATATCTGTAATAATCATTATGGTGTGGTTGTTCCAAATAGCTCACAGCCAGGATGCAGAAACTCAGCTAGTGTAAATTGTTATTGTTCCATTGACTTCAAGGGAGCTACAGGAGATTTTATGAACTGAGGAGCTGCCCCCACATTCTCAAATGTCCAAAACTGCATATTAGGGCCAAATAAGAGGTCTGCTTCCATGTGCATGCCTCCATCAGGACCAATTTTTGTAAGTGTTCGTTGGCTGCAGATTTGGCTGCAGTTGTGTGTGCTGAGCCCTTTGGAATATACTGGTCCAAAGTCTTATCGCTAATTCATCAGCATCTACACATATTACCTCTATTTAGAAGACATGGGGCCAACCAAAGCTGGTTGACACTACAGATAGTGATTTGCTCCACTTTCCAACATTGAGGTATCAAGTGTAAGAAGGGACCGGGAGGAGGGTCAGGCAATAGTGGCAATATAGAAGAAACTGGCTCATCTAGAAGTCCAAAAATCCCACTTTCCTAATAAGCGCAAGGAAAAATGAAGCACAGAGCAACCGATGGCTTTTCAGCAAAGCTTTACATTAATTAGCTTTGACAAATTACCCAAGCTAATTATGGGTTTAGTGATTAATTGCACACTGACTTTCTTTCTAGGAAATGTGCTTTCCTCCTCCTGCTAGCCTGGTATTTGCATATGTGTTGTAAGGCTTGAGCTCCAGTGGGTGCGAGTCAGCCAGTGGGGTTCTTTGGGGCATTAAACTTCTGCAGTGTTTGATCATAAAGACCTGAAAATAAAGGTAAAAGACTGCTCAGTAGAGCTGGAAATGAAAGACCTCAGCCTCCTTTCTTCATAGACCATCATATACTAGGCAGGTTAGGAGGTTTGTGTAGGTGTAGCACCACGTCCCACTTGGACTGGTCAGAACTACCTTGTCATTGACCTTTCCTTAGGGAGGATCCTGGATTTCCACTTCGAGTTTAGTCATCTTAATTCCAGCAGTAGATGGAACCTCCTCATTACTCTGAACTGGTGGAGGTCCAGGTCCTTGGCGCCATCTTTTCATCCAAACTTTGGGAGTCGTTTTCAGACACTGGCTTGTTCCCAAGGAACCACAGGAGTACAGTAGCTTTCTGCATTTAAGAAGAAAGAGGTTATGGTACAGGCTTTGTTGCTCTGTCTGAAGGATCTGAAACGTCAGTTTATGCTGTTTAAGAGTGGCTGTGGGGCTGGTGGTGTTCCTGGTGAACATAAAGCTCTGTGCAGTCCCTGGATCTGCTGACTATGGACCTTGGGAACCACCAAGTGTTCTGGACCATTGGTCCGTTGTTTAGAAATCTCTAATTGAAAAGAAGCTAAAACTGAAAGGGAAGTAAGAATGGGGGTAGGAACTAGATCTGCAGTGATGAGAGTGAGAACTAGGTCTGTGGTGTTGGACAAGATCTTCTGCCAGACACAAAGTATCTGAGGACAAAGTTGATGTCTTTGTTTTGTGTCTGCACAACTCCCAGAACAAATGGGCTCCCACTTCGCCTTGAAATCAAGTAACTACTTTAACATGCTGCAGAGCCCGAAACAAACTCCAAGGGAATAGATAAATTCACTTGGACTCTCCACCATGCTAATGTGAATACGTGGCTTCGAGACTGGAACTGGCTCATGCCTGGATGACTCCAAGCATAGCAGAGTCAGCTTGTGTCTGGCTGTGGTTGACCCTTAGCAACCCAGTGAACCTTGAGAAATACTGGAGGGCTGTTAGCACAGAATGAAATGCATTAATTCTCACTCTCCTCCAGCAGTGTACAGCCTTAGGGGAGATGGAGGAGGTGATGCATTTTTACATGAGTTGAAGCCGATTTTCTGAGGTCTTGGATACTGACTGTGAAAGAACTGTGATAAGCAGTCTGCAGAGAGCTCAGGTGAAGGAGCAGTGAGTCCGGTTGATGAGCCTGAAAGCAGAATATGCTTGTGATTACCCTTGTGCATCATGTTTTTAGAACGTTGCAGCTCATCCAGATGAAGACCATTTCCTTCTGTCCAACTGGCTGCTCTTGATAAGAACAGTGCAAGACAGCTCATCCTTCAGTTCCATGTGGTCACTCTGTATGGGGCAAGCTCTAGCCCTGGAGAGCACCAGCAAAGCCATTCAAGGGACTTTTGTGGCACTGGAATGCAACTTTTGTTCTTAGCTCAGCTAAAGCATCGCTCCTTACATTTAGCCATCTACAAATGCAGCCTTCCAGAAGAACTGGGAAGCCCAGAGGAGAGCTCTTCATCATTAGTAATGTGTCTAATAGCATATAGATATAGGAAGTTAATGCCCAAAAAATCATAACTTGGGCAAGATGAAGTCATTCAGAGAAGTTCTGCCATTTGCACCTTTGTACAAGTTGGCAAGTGAGGCACAAACTGTGCCTGAAGTTGCCCAGCATCATCACTGGCTTTTCTGTTTCAGCCTGTGCCCAGCCAGAGGGATTCCTGATGGATGTGTCTTAGAGGAAAGAAATTATCCCAGAGGCTGCAGGTTTTATGGGCATGGGGCTTCAGCTCCCATCTAACACAAGAGGCTGGCATGCATGGATGCTCCCAGAATGTGGGCAGAAGGGTTTTTTTTTTAGTAGTAACTAGGTCTTTTTATTTCTTTTAGAATCTGGCAAGCCGTGTAGGGAAGGAGGTTTTGACATCCTTCCACCAGGGTCTGTAGGGACGGTTTGCTGTTAATGATCTAGGCAGCAAGACAGACCATCTGCTGATGTAAATCGGAACAGCTCTGTCGCCTAAAGTTATGTTACACCAATTTAAATCAGCCCATCATCTCCAAGACAAACCACCTTTCACTGCTTTCCCCTATCAAGCACCAGCTCCAAAGCACATTAAACCCAGACACAGCCTTCTTGTGGAGGATTCACCCCGCAAGCCTGTGCTCCCCATCCAAATACCCAGTCCAGGCCTTCCTCTGAACCTCTTCTCCTTGGAGGCAGAGCCCTGGAGGAAGAGGAGGGTGGGATGAAGACCCCCAAAAGGTGACAGTCATGGAGGGCTGGGCATGCCATTTGTTTCCCCATTTCAGGAACCAAATCCTGGCAACAGAAAGTGGAGTAAGGTCTCTTTTTCCATCTGCTTCGCTGGCATTGCTCCGGAGGTCATTGTCAGGGACGGAGGTCCTCGCTGGGCCCCATCTGCCTTCCCCGGGCTCCCTCATTTATGCCCACTTGGGCCTCTGACATTCTACTCTGTTTTTCTTTCCTTGAAAATGGATCGGGAATTGGGAGCCGCTGCGCAGGAACGCGCCTGTTCCCCATTACAGCTCCACCGGGGCTGTAACACGATCGTGCCTGCTCCATACCCACACAGATATTTATTTATCCATACAGGCTTTCTCCTTGTTTTCATTAAGTTAGGCAGAAAAGGTTAATCTTTCTTCTGCTAAAGCTTCAAAACCAATCAAGCTAAATAAAATATGATTTCTTTCATTTCTTTTTTAAAGGACACTCTCTCTCTCTCTCTGATTTTTTTCCCCCTTTAAGTACCAGAATGAGGTCACAGACAGAGATGCCACAAGAGTAAATTGAAAACAGGTTGAAAAAAAGCAAAAGGGAGAAAGATGGGGAGAGAAAACCACAATCAGAAGAAAGTGACTGGTAACGTTGCAAGGTTGGTTTCACCCAGGCTAGTAAAGAAGATGTCAAGACAGAGACATTGGTGCCTTCCTACTTTTCCCTTTCTGTTCTTTCTAGGAATCTCAGAGGTGAATTGCAGCAGGGAGGTCTCTCATCTTCATTTCCACTTTGGGTTGCACTGAGTTATGTCTGTGCCACTCAGCACCCAGACATGAGCTGAAGGTGTGGGAATGCCTGTAGAGAGAGGGCTTCCTTTTGCTCCTCTAATTTCCTGGAGGCTCCTGGTCTTGGTCTCTGGTTTAGTCTATAACTCCTGTTGTCTTCAGTGAGGTGGTTGATGGTTAATTCATCCTGCCCGCTGGTCGCAGCCACTGGCACTGGCAATGCTCACAATGGAAGGACTGAGGCAGACTAAGACTGTTGGATGCTGCGAGCGAGTGGTCTGAGCCTGCTCCCACCCATTATCATTCCTCAGTCCCCACTCCTGACCATCTGAACCTCCCGTCACTAGATATGTGCTCATTCAAGAGCAGATTAACAGCTCAACCTTGCAGGCAGGCAGCTGAGTAAGGGATGTCCTTCTCCAGACCAGGCATTGAGTTCAGTTCCCAGATGAGTATCTGAGAGCCATCACCGGTGGATGACCTATATACCTCACTGTGACCAGAAGTTTGCAAAGCTTCATGAAATGGGATTAGCCCATCCCACCCCACTGCAATATCTGCTGTTATTTTCCTCCGGTTTAGGGCAAGCTCTGACCCACACAAACACCAGCATCAGCGTAAAGATGCATGTTTACAAAACCAAAGAGGATGCTTGCCAAACTCCACAGTATGTGTGCAGAAGAGGATGAGGCAGTAGCGAGAGAGTTGCACTAGAGACAGAAGGAAAACGCTACCTGGAGGGAGCTGCATCTTCATCATCATCAGTAGTAGAGCAGAGATTGATTTTCAGAAGCTACCCGGGGAACTGAATGGTTTGGGGCAGACCAGCACTGGGAAGGCAGCGGTATGGAAAGTTTCTTGCAGAGATTTGATGTGCAGTTGGGAGTATCAGCATCCCATTGCTGAGCACAATTGCTCTGTTACCAGTATGCAGCAAGTGGCATCTTTTGCTCTGTGCACAGCACTTACCACAGTGATGCTTGAGCTCTGGTCTGGATTTTT